GCAAATCCCGCAGAACATCTAAAGAGCTCTTTGTCACTTTGAATTATAGCCTAAACAGGTGGTTGATGAGCCTGGTTTGAGCTGAGAGTGGCTCCTTGCTGCCCTGGCCTCTCTCCTCAGGGAAGTGTAAGTAGCACTGCAGTGATAGCCGAGAATCCAGGATAAACACAAACTTATTAGACCTTGTTGTCATTTTTGTGTGTTTTTAAGGTTTTTAAAATTACTTTCCAGAGTGCTACATCAGGTATAAGGGTGGAAATAAAAAGCAGAATGGTCTTGGGTTCTCAAACAAGGTGGATGAAATGAATATTAATGTACAGGAATGGCAATTCAGTGCAATAGAGGTGCAAGTGCTCATTTTAAACCTTTCTCGGAAGAAGTGACTTAGGAATACTGCGTCATTTTGCACATACTGGGTGAGAGGTTTGAGTCATTTCCTTCAGGGTCCACAACCCCAGCAGAGGTGTGAGAGCAGAAGCAGGGTCTGCAGTACAGAAAGAGAACATGTAGATGTGAGCAGTTTGAACCACAAGCTGGTGTGTCCTGTCTAAGAAAGATCCCTGGCTCTCACAGTGCTTCCTCACATCTGGCAAACTTAAAACTTGAAATCAAGAGCTAAAAGCAGTGGACAACTCTCTTTTTGAGAAACAAAAGTGTTTTTTTTTTTTAACTCAGTGAGAACTCTGTTCATCCTATACCACAAACACTTATGAAGTCATTCTCCTGGGCTGAATGCAGACAGAGATAAAAGTTTACAGACGATTCAGTTTGTCTCAGCAACATGTTCCTGACTTCCTTAAAGTGTACATAGAAAAATCTGTCCATCAATGACCATGTAGCAGTAACTTCAGTGGGTGGCTGTGAGTGAAAGTGCATGTGGAAATGCCAGGAGTGCAGCTTGCTCCTGCCCTGCTCCCCCTGTGTTATACAGTTAGTAATTCTGTGTGACCTTTTACAGGGCAGCCTGTGCTGCTGCCTCCACAAAGTGACCAGGGACCCACGTCCTGAGTACCTGACAGGGAGAATGAATTGAAACATGATAAAGGTGGAAAGAGACTGGAGGAGCAGAACCTTTCCTTTTTAGCAATGTTGCAGAAAATAAACAAAACAAAAAAAGTGGTTTGCAAACAACTTATGGCCAAATGTATTGCGGAAATTCTTTTGTTTACCTATTCATAATAGGAGTGGAAATACAGCTCATTCTCTTACTTAAAGAAATTTTCTAACATTAAATTGAAGTTAATTTAATTTTGCAGATATTGCATGTTTTATTTTTTTCTTGCTGGGTTATTTCTCTTCCCTCTCTTAACAAAATTCTGAATATGTTGCCTGAAATAATCTCAAGTACCAGATGCTGAGAATGGGGAATTACACCCAGCTTGGACCATCAGCCTCAAGGAGTTTAATTGCTTCCAAAATTTTCCCCTCGTAAATAGTGAATTTAGACGATATTTGTTAGAAACATCACACTCATTTCCTACTTAGTAGGTGACTTCAGCCACAGGAGCAGAGTCAGTGCTGGAACCTTTTCTATAAAGAAGTATAAAGCAATCCTTGTATCCTTGGTTTGTTTAAGCTGGTTTTGCTCTGCACATTTTCAGGGGTGGGGAGGAAATTGCTGCAAGCAAAACTGGATAAGAAAACCCCAGCATTCTTATCTGGCTTTTGCTAATGGGCCACTTGGTAAGACACTCTCTCCCCTCCCCTGGCTGCCTAGAAAATGCTGGATACCCGAAGCAGCTTTTGCCGTGTGAGAAGGGTAGGGAACAGCTTTGTGCAGGTGCAAATGCTTGTTTGGAGGAAGGCAGTAATTAAATGGAGTTCTGACAGGTTTGGCTTTCGCTGCTCTGAATTCTGCTTTGAATTCAGCCTATCTGTTCACTCACCACATGAACTGGTTTCCTTTTCTTTTTCACCCTCCCTGTAGGCTGTCGACAGATGAGCTCAGAAAATGCTCCATGTGCTGCTTGACATCAGCTGCTGAAGAACAGACTTGGGTGGATGTTGAGATTGTCAGTGTATCTATAATGCTCTTTTATGAGCAATGCCTTCATGAATACTTCACTGTTCATCTCTGCACTACGAGGCCTTAGTTTCCTTTATTTAGCTTTATTTATCTGTCAGTAGTACTTTGAGCTGGATTTTTGGGAGCTGCCAGCATGCAGTTCTGGTTTGGGTGATGCAGCAGATCAGGCTGTGAAGGTGTCAGGGGCAGCCCTTCGGGCATAAAGGTCAGTGAGCAGAAGAACTTTCTCTTAAGTCAATGCAGGCTGCATCATCTTTGTGGTTAAAGTCCAAACCCCTTAAGTCAAACCCTTAAATTTTTTACTGTGATAGTGTATTCCTTTCTTGCATCAATAAATGTAACACTCTGCATTACAGTTCACAGATAATGAACTGTTCTCTCTAGTTTCTCTCCTTGGCTGTACTTTACCTGGAGGTAATCCAACAAAGTGAATTTTGTTTTGCAGGCCTTTTTTTGCTGCTTGTGGGAGTTGAGTGACCATTAAGAAAAAGTCTTGTTCTGCTCATTTCCTATGTAGCTGTTTCCCTGCAGATACCCAGTTCTCAAACACACTGTGATTATTTGATTACGTGACATACAAACCCACCCAGAATTTTGCAGCATTCCAATGTACTTGGTTAATCTAGAGGTGCCCTGTGTTGTTAAACACAGCTGGCATGTCTCCAGACACATTGTGTATTTGGTAATATTTTTTTGTGGGTTTGAGCTGGAGGCTTTGCAGAAGGAAGTTTAAGGGCAAGGTTGTGCCAGCCAGCATGTGCAGGCACCCCCTGACAGGTCACGTCTCTGGTGTGTTCTCCTCTGGCAGGAGGGATGGTAGGGCAGAGAATATTTGGTCAGATTTACAACTGGAGTAAATGGTGCATAATGATGCAGTCCTGTTGTCTCTTTTGCACAGGAGCTTTGTGACTCAATAATGTACTTGCCAGGAGGATGAAATGTTTATTTGTGGCTCTGGTGGTTCTGAGACATTAGTTCTCAAAAATTAGTGTTTGAACTTTGCTGAGGGTGTGTGAATGCTTTGCTCATTCAGCCTCAGCCCGTGAGATGGTAGAAAAAAAATTTCCTAGAATCCTATAATGCAGGAATGTATAGACAGATAAAAATTTAAAGGGCTCTGTGTAAGTATTTTGCTGACAATTATCCCTTTTCTGGGATAGAGAGCCTAATTAATTTGTGGCTTCTTCAGTTATACCCAAAACCCTTTTACTGCACCATAATGTTGTCTCTTTCTAACAGGCTTAGATTTATCTAGAACTGATTTAGTTTAAACAAATCAAAATCAAAACCAAACCTTTGCTCTTGACTGCCTGACTGACCTTTTGCTTCAGGGAAGTGTACCTGTGCTTGGATAGCTTTCACCCATCTCTGTATGCCTTTTCAAATTTTGTAGCACAAAAAGCTTCTCACTTTTAAAATTTTACAGGGGATGCTATAGAAAAAGCATGCATAAATAATGCTGTAGTTTAATGGGTACTGGTAGCCTACTAAAATATAAATGGAAAACTTGATCACTGTTTAGAATGTACAATTTAAAATATTCATGAGGCTCTTCCCTATTTGAAAAACAGACTTTTAATATTATCAATGACCATTTTGATTAGTCCCAGCTCAAACAAAGTTTTAATTTCAAGGATGTCCATAAAGAAGCCACTTGACTGCAGATTGACCTTGGTTTTTTTAGTAACCTCACATACAGAAATGAGAAAAAAAAACTATGGAAACTAAATGCTACATTTGAGTGAACAAATTGCAGGGACAGACTGGGGAGGAGAGTCAAGTGAGAAAATAAAATCTTGGCAGTGCAAGATATATTTATTAAAAAAAATGCAGCTTCTTTATAGACTTTGGTTCTGAACAATATGGGGTTTTATTTAGTTGATCAGTAAAGATAGGAAGCAAAACAAAGGCCACTTTGTCATGCCAGACTTTCAGAAATATACCCACATCACAATGGCATGCAGCACAGTTTTTTCATACAGCTTTTTGGCTCAGACTTGGTTTTGGGTAAGAACAAAAGTTGGCAAAAACAGCTTCTGTGCTCAGAGAAGAATAACTTCTGTTGATCAGAGATTTTTGGAGAGATTTTTAATTAGACCAGCACTGTGAAGACTGTGGAGTCTAAGGAGTTCAAAACAGATATGTAAAGTACTTTTCGATTCCTCGTATTTCCTCATCATTTCAAAGTCAGTGGGGAGCTAAGTTTCAAACTGCTGCTGCAGTTTAACTCTGTGTAGATGTGTTTTTCCTGCCAAGTTTGAGTCACCGTGGCCATCTAGCCCCTTCTGGAGAGATTAAGATGATGGAGAGCTGGAATACGTTCTCTGGTTAAATGAGCGAATGTTTCTATTCAAGCATGGATTCAGATTTCCCCGCGCTTTCCTCTGAACGCGTGGGATGGACAAGACCATTATTTTTAATTCCACAATAAATAACTGCAGAGCTCAACTAGCAGTGAGTAGAAAGTAGCTGGTTATAGGATAAGGGTGACTTTGGGCTCTGCTTGGGTTCAAAGCCTGGTCCAGATGCAGTGATTAAAAGCCGTACAGGTCGCCTCAAACAAAGAGAGGCTTTCTGGCATATCATCAGTGGAAATACTCCCAAGCTATGTTACTAATCCCACTGCCTGGCCTGGTATCTTGCCTTTAGCATCCACATCAGAGGCATGACAGAAATGCAAAAGGGAGGGAAAATCTCAGTGTTTCTGTTCAAAACTGCTGTCTTGGGGCCCTCTTTTGAGAGAGGAGGCAGAGCATTGGTTATCCACCGACTGGTAACTGGTTTTCTGCACAGGCATAAGTTTTAATTCCTGTTTTATGTAGGAATGTGCATGCATCTGAAGGGCCAGGGAGTGGGGAAGACACATTTGCCTTTACAGCTGCTGGCAGCAAAGAAATGCAGCAAGACTTGATTGAAAACATCTATCTTACTGTTTTACTAACTGCAGGTTTTTTTTTTCCTTTCTCCTTTGTAGGTCTCAGACTCTGGATACTGGCTGTGGGATTTTTTTTCTATTGTTATTTTTGATTGGGTTTTTTTTCCCCCTTTTTGGATGTGAATTGAAGGCCAACAACAGTTGAAGTGTTGGAAGCAAGTGCAGGAGGACGCTCACCTTTTTATTTGAACCCTTGTTTGCTGGGATACTTTCAAGCTCTCCTTCACAGTCATGTGGTCATCACAGCTGCTGTTCTTCACAATGCTCTTAACACCGTTTGCCCATGGTGAGTGAGAGATGGTGTAAATGTGCCTGTGGGAAGGGAAGAGAAGAGAAAATAGCAAGGATTTTGTCTGTCTTTTCCTAATGGTGTGGTTTTTTTTACAGGATGTTGATATCTCTCCCTGCTTGCTCCTCATGTCTTTGAGATTCCCAGGTTACATTATGACTTAACTACTGAAACAAAGAACTCTGGTGACACATAAAGGCTTCTTTTTCTGAGTTTAGCTGCTGCATTAGACAGACTTTTTATTCCCTTTTCTTGGGGAAAATGGATTTATTACCAAACAAGTCAGAGTAGGGTAATGAAAAATAAAAAAAACACTGTCCCCCCCACCTGCCTTCTTCCTGAAGTGAACTTACTCCCAGTTGTCTCTACCTCCTGCCCTGCAGCAGTACAGGGGCACAGGGAATGGGAGCTGTGTTCAATTCATCACGTCTTGTTTCTACTGCTCCTTCCTCCTCAGAGGGAGGAGCCCTCACATTCTTCCCCTGCTCCAGCATGGTCTCCTCCCATGGGGTCACTCATCCTGCCAGCAAACCTGCTCCAGTGTGGGCTTCCTTCTCCACAGAGCCACAGCAAGGCTGCAGGGGCACAGCTGCTTCACCTTCAAGGGAAATCCCATCTCTGGCATGTGGAGCACCTCCTGCCCCTCTTGCTTCACTGACCCTGTCTCCAGAGCTGTTTCTCTCACAAAGCAGCAGCTTTGTCCCCTTTTTTGGATATGTTATCCCAGAGGCTCTAGCACAGTCCCTGATGGACTCAGCCTTGGCCAGTGATGGGTCTGTCCTGGAGCCAGCTGGCATTGGCTCTGTCACACGTAGGGAAAGCTTGAAGCAGCTTCTCACAGAAGCCACCCCTGTAACCAGCCCCTCCCTCCCCAAAACCTGGCCATGCAAATCTAGTACAGAGCTGTAGCAGGAAAATTTCATCTCTTTGATTAGCCAGGAAACTCTTAAGTGAAATGTGACGCATGTAATTCTTTGAAAAAAGATTTTGAGGCCTGTTGGGTTCTCTTGATATGAGAAACCCAAGTGTATGCTCTAGAAGTAAGCTGCCAGGTTTCTCAAGTGCTGAAGGGTTCAGGAGCTCCTATTAGCAGTGATGGTTATAGCACTAAATGCTCAGGGCAGAACTTGGGAAAATCTGTCTGCCTGATTTTTTCTGATGCTTAAATGCAAGGTGAGCTCTACCAAGGATCTTAATCAAAGGCCAGTGGAAGCATGTCTGTAAATGACATTACTCCCTGTATGTAAGCTGTGGGTCCCTGCTTTTAAAATATTTATCAGGCTTTTTGAGCTTTTACGAGCTGATCCTTTGTGTATGTGCTAAAACACTGGAGGAAAATTTTACAGGAAAGGAGGTGATGAAAAAAAATGAAAAAATGCGATTGGCTGAACATGGCTATAGAGCACAACCTATCTTACATAACCTTTGGGGACAAAGGCTATCTGCAGTATTGTTCTTTAAGCAAGACTCCTCCTCACTGACTTGAAAATTAGAATGAGTGTTTAAACTGAGTTGACCAATTAGGGTGAAATGAAAGAGCTATTCAGAAAGGTGCTCTCCAATTCTTTCCAGGAAAGTTAAATGCTGAATGTTTTGTAAATCTTTATAATTAAGTAGTATTAACAGTGAAAGCTATTATTAGTTTAAATATGCCTCTGGCAGTTTTGTTCAGGATTTTCTGTGCCACTGTAGCTGGAAAGTCCTGCCTGATAGTCCCAGTAAATGAAAATGTCACAAGTTATCCTAGGAGTGATATTATACTACAGATGAGCAAATGCCAGAGGTGCAGCAACTATGTCTGGAAATATTTCTACTCTTTATGCTCCTCTCCAGACTAAATGTACAGGGTGTTTGCTGTGGTGGTAAATTTGACCATCACCCATCCACCCAACACCCACATTATCTGTTCAGCTGCTAGTGGAAGTGTGACAGCTATCTTTGAACAAGGGAGGGAGAACACCCTTGGTCTGAGCCAAAGAACTTCATTTGGCTTTCCCTGTTCTGATCTCTTGAGTGGCCAGGATGCAGCTTCCATCTCAGCACTGTGGCATGCTGTTTAAACACATGCCACAACCTCACCTTCCTTATAAAAATAGCCTAGTTAAGCACTGCTTTTTTATCTATTTTTTTCATTTTCTCTTTGAGTAATCCCTTTTTACTACATGCATAAAGCATTCAGAATTTACACTTAACAGGAATCAAGCCATTTGAGTTCCTCTTTCATGATCTGGAATGACTCCTGTACTGTAGTGACTGCTGGAGATATGAGCTACTTTTTCAGACTGACCTTGCTACATCTCATTCCCTTTTTGAGTTCCCTGACACAGCCTTTTCATCCGTATGGTAGCTGCATTACAGACAGATTTCTTAGACCAGTGATCTCATAAATTGTAGAGGTGGTGGTGGTGTTTTGGGGTTTTTTTGAGGGGGCTTGGGTTTATTGTTTTTTGGTGGTTTTTTTTGTTTTTTTCTTTAGCTGTATCATTTCTTGGAGTAGATTGTGTGTCTTGGGCTGTGATAACAGGTATGGAGTCAAAGGGTGTATACTTCAGTGATCTGCAAGATGAAAAGTAATCTTCCAGAATAGTGCCCTCATACAATGTCATCTTGTTGATAAGCTGTAGAAATCACAAAAGGGGAAAAGGTCATGAGTCCTTGCATTTCCTCAGTGATGATGTTAATCTGCTCTATCCAAAATGCACAGGCACAGCACTGTCTAGTTTTGCTCAGACTGCTTTGAATCATAGCTCTCCAAAAAAACTGAACCATGCGAAATACTTAAGATAATAATAGATTTGCGTAGTGGCTGCTTTCTTTACTGTTACCCTTGACTTGATTGGAAAAAAGCTTACAACTTATGCCACAACCTGGAGCACTGTAGAAGCCCCCCCAAAAGCTACCCCCACTCTTAAGCTGCAGCAATGCCTGTAAATCCATTTGTTGCCTAAAACTAAAGCTGTTACATAAAATCAGAGAATTACACAAGATAGACTGAAATAATACCAAGGAATAAAATAAAGCCATCAGCAATAACAATAAGAGCAAAGCCTTTTTCATCCTTTGCAAGGGCTCTGCTAAGGGGACGGGACTTTTGCACCCCTGCCTTCTTTTTGCCCCTCTTGGGAAGCTTTTCCCAAAGCATCTGCAGGTCTGGACACTGGGAAAGTGCTCCTTGGTTTGTGTTTCCCCCCACGTACACCTGAGCAAACGGATCCTCTTTCCCTGTGGCAGGTGGATTTCCAAGAGGCATTTTCTGGAACGAGCAGCTGTTCTCTTCCTCTGCCTTCCTCCCCTTGACCCCAAACAGAGCAGATTGCTCTTCACCCACAAATGAACGCTGTCAAAAGTTCACTTGAAATGAGATGGACATGACAGGCAGCAGCTCAGTTTGCAAGCCTGGAGAGATGTACACCTGCTCTGTCACATTGCTGTCGTGCTCGTGTGTGGCTCAGAGCTGAGATTTAAGACTTCCAGACTGCTGGACAAAAATAATAATAGAAATAAAGGGATTCAGAGCTGCACGCTGTTAGGAGCAGGACAGGAAGAATACCACACTGATCACTGTGGAGTGAAATTTTGCACCTCTCCAAAGAAGTAACTTATTTTAGGCTCTGGAAGAGAGCTGAAGGCCTTTTGTATAGAAAGATCTTTATCATCCCATCAGATTGGTTTATTATTTGTTTGCAAATTACTTTTTAAAGATTGTACTGCGTGTCTAATTATGATAGGCAACAAATAATGAGTTAATTGTTGTCATTCTGCTTCTTTTAATAATCCAAAAAGGGACAGCCACTTCTTTTTCCAATTAAGTAATAATCCAATTTGCCCAGTTTCTGTTGGAGATTGTTATAAATGCAATAAAAGCAACAGGTGCGACTACTTACCTGTTTCTTCTGCTGCTAAGCTCTTGCCTTGTGCTTGTGACATGAGAGTGAGCTGTCAGCATCTTGGATCCTGCTTGGGCAAAATTCTGAGGTTTGGTTCCTCCTGGTCTTGCAGCTGCTTGGGATTGTTTTGTATATATTTTAACCCTGTATTTACTAATGGGTTGCACACTGTTCTTTCCTGATGATCCATGGCGTGGGTTAGTCATTGCTGTGATTGCTTAAATTCCTTGATATTTTCCTTGATATACAGTGTAATTTTTGGGTTAGAGCCACACACTTGGCCTAAACTAAGCAAAACTAAAGTCAGAACAAATTAAACAATAATGTAACCAAAACCTGGCTGAAATTACAGGACAAACAATAGGTATCTGCATCATGGTTTAAGTCCAGCTAGCAACTAAGCACCACACAGATGCTTGCCTACTTCCCTCCAGCCTCGTATATGAATGTGATTCTGTATTTTCATACTGAATCCAAAATACAGCACTGTTCCAACTAATAAGAAAAAATGAACTCTATCCAGCCAAAACCAGGACAATCTGACATTGCAGCTAGGACAGGCTAGACAAAAGTTATCTGATCCCAGGGGAAGTTGCAAATGCAGCAAAGTTTCTCAAATAACTTTGGAGATTAGAGCTAAGTTTAACCTAAAATAGGTTGTAGTTCACACAAAGCCTGTCAAGTCCTGGAGCCTGGTATTGTTATGAAGCTTTAGGCCCAAAACTGATACTTGACAGCACCAAACTGGCAGAACTACAGATGCTGCTGGCCCAGTTCTAAACTTAAAAAAAAAAACTGGTTGCCTCCAATAATTCATTTTTGCGGTCTTGTGGCATAGCTGTGAAGTGACCTTCCTGCATTTAGGGACAGATGCCATTTTGTCTCTCCATATGAGAATTAGTTTGAGATGGGGCTGAGCTAATTTATCATTTGCAGAGTAGGAAATGAAATTTGAAGTCCTCTCAAGTCATTGCAGCTGCAAGGAAAGAGAGCCTCGTCTGCTGTCCTGTTCCTGCCCTCTGAGCTCCCACTCCATCTTTGCAATGCTTCTGGGAGACAGCCGTGGCGAGGGCTGCATCCTTGTGAAAAGATGGCACTCCAAGGTCAGGC